CCCCCGCCCCGCCCCGCCCACCCAATAAGGTAGACCAGCCAACGAGGAGTGTGATATGATTTAACATTATAGCCCATTGTATAGTGGCATCAATTGCAAGATTCATATTAGTTTATATATGTCTTCTTTTCCACATTAGTACTGGACCAGCTGGCGGTTGTTAGCTAGACTTCTAAGTTACGTGAAACAAATTTTAATACACTTGAAAGTGGAAAGGGTTAGAAAGAGAAAACCAAGAATTTAATATACCATTACAACATCCACTAAAACCTCATGACGATGAGAATGAGTAGATAATTATACACTAATGAACTATCCAGAGCTCCCTACGTGGTGCTTCGTGACCTTTTTTTTTGTTAGATTAGGCTTTGAACAAAGAAAATTGGTTTCAAATATTTTTGGCTAAGTTAATAAATTTATAATGAAAAAAATGTTACAAGATAGCTCAATTCGTGCTCAAGGAAATGGGCAAAAACTTGAAACATCAAATTGGACAACATGGCCCATCAGAAACCCAAAGCAATCAACTTAAAATGCCCACTGTCCTGACCAGTAGACCCAGTTGCATCAGGTCCACAACACCCAAAATCCATCCCGGTTAGGCTGTGCTCCTCTTTTATTTGAAGATGTAATTGACCATCGTTATTAGACTGGTAGAAAATGAAGAGATAGCCCTTTTGGATATGGATTGGGCTTTGCAGCTCATGTTCACGAGTACAACCAATATGCGAATGTGGTTTTTGATTCGATATGGTACAACTGATGAATCAGGGCCGGCCCAGCGTAATGAAAAAAAAAATCAAGGGCTTTAAGCCCCAAACTTTTAAAAGACCTCATAATTTTAAATACATCACTAATCCACAAAAAAAAAAATTAAATCTATTCAATTTTAAGCCCTATAAAAAAGTCCAAAAAAATTAAATTCAATCAAAATTTTTATTGCAATAATTTGGACCTATAATTCAATCCATAACATTAAAAACTTACAAATTAAAAAAATACTCAAAAGTCAACTCATATTTACTTATATCTATTTTCTCTCTCCATCTCTGTGGTAAAAAACAAAAATTAAAATTAAAATTTCTTTCTCATAATATTAACACACTCTTCTTTTGTTTCCCTCTCACATAAAAAATTAAAAATAAATTATTTTTTTTAAAAATAATATTAAAAATAAAACGATCCCAAATTGGTTTCGGTTAGGGGTGCAACTCGGACGGGTTGAACGGTCAACCCTAACCCAACTCTAGATATATAATCTTCAACCTTAACTCTAACTCAGATTGAGAAACTCAACCCGAGCATTGCTCAAATTTAATTCGGGAAGACTCGGGTTGAATTCGGGTTAATGATTTTGGGCTAATTCGGGTTATTTTACGGGTTCAATTCGAGTTGAGTTTGGATAGAGTCCAAAATAGGTTTGTTGTTCTAAATTAACAACCAATAACTTCAATCATGTTTTTAACAGTGCTAATGCTAGAACAAAAATGAAAATGAACGAGAGAAACAAAGAACGATAGAACAAAAATGAAAAACTAATGCTAATATTTTATATATATATAATTTTTTTTGTAATTTGTCGGGTTCGGGTTGAACCCATGAATCCGAGACCATAACTCGAACTCAATCCAAATTGAATTCAGGTTAAAAATTTTTGACCTAAGTTTAACTCAGTTATTAAAAACTCTTGCCCAAATTCTAATTTTTTAGAATTGGGCTTGGCTTGCCAACTCAACTTGCACCCCTGTCTCCGGCCGCCTGACATTAGCTTTTGTTTCAGTATCTTCGAGTAAAGCTCCGTGATTCCATCAGACTGAAAAAGTCCCCTTCTTTTTGCTACGAGTGTGAAGTAGTCTTCGTCGAACATCTTGAAGCTTCCGGTATCCATCTCTACGATTGAGTTTTGGTCTCCTGGTTTGCATTTCAACTTCAGATGTGCTATGTAGTTTGGATCAAAAGTGGGATCAGTGTCGCCTTTTCCAGTGAAGTTGTAGAGACGATTATTGAAGGATGAGCAATGAGAAATCCCGATTGTGTATCCACCTAAGTGATCAAAGGCCGTTAATTAGGAAAAATCTGGTCCATGGTCTCGCGGAAGGGGAATTGCTTGCCTTAGCATAAAAGGATTTGAAACAATCCCCAAAATAATTATATGAAATAACTATTCTTTTTCATTTCGTGTTTCCTAAAGTGTTCTCTAGCCTCTAGAGTCAGTGAACTGGGTTGTTTACTCTTTTCAGTTCATTCTGATTTCTCCCTCTTCTCCACTTAAAACACCAACATTACCAAGCTTGATCATCGCCTTCGCAAATTTCCTCCGAAACACCTTGGGTCCGGCCACGTACTCCGAAACAATCGTTCGAGTAACATCAGTGAATGCAAGCTCTTGATCCAAACTAAGAACCGCTTCCTCATTCAGCACTCCTTGGTAAAAAGAAGGGTCTAATTCGAAGGGTGTACTGGTGGTTGGGTTCATGAACACTTTTGGATCAGTGCTAATATTGATGTTCTGTAACACAGTCCTTGGACAGCTCAATAGTTAAAGAACTCTTACTTATTGTCTTTGTAGCCCGCTATATATACTCCTTTATTTTCTATAAGACAAAACATATTCTTGAAATAACTCTAAAATTATGGCCCTCAAACTTTTTGTTGTATGGTCGCGTGAGTGACATACTATAACAGAGGTAAACATAATAACTCAATTGACACAATTAGAGAGTTTAGGAGTTTAATTGACATAAAAAAAGTTTAGGGCTTAATTGACAAAAGAATCATAATTTGAAAGTCATATGCGTAATTTACTCCAACTCATTTGTGTCATGGGAATGACACAATATGCCACTTTTAGCTATAAAATCTAACGGAGGGTTCACTTGATACAATTGTAGGGTTTAAGGCTCAATTGACCCAAAAAAAAATTTTAAGGGCTTTATTGACATAACAATCACAATTTGCGGGTCATGTATGTAGTTTACTCTTAAAACTTTTAAGACTCCAATGTTACACTTAGAATTTCAAGAATCAAATTGAAACTTGACTCATATATATATAGGGTACAGATTCTCAATTACCCATGAGATCAGTAAATCTACCCTGCCTCTTTTACTACATTTTCATTCACAATCAAACAAAGCTGACTGGTATGTAAGTTTTTCCTAGTAAAGTTGTGAGGTCATCTATGTCAAGACTAATGTTCTGGAAAGCTTTCAGAGCATCAGCAGCAGAGGAAGAAGGGCTAGGAATATCAACATCATTGAAATTGGAAACTGTCCCATCTCACCGCCCCGTCGGCAGGGCATAAGCTGCTCCTCCAGCAAATGCAACACCATCCCGGGCGGCTAGTGCTAATATGTCTGCACAAGAAACAATCCTTTTGCATTGCTTCTCCAATTCCACCTTTATCTCATCGATGACCTCAAATCCTTTAAAGGTTAGATTAGGTGGAGCTTCTTTTTCTGCTACATTTGCATCAGTACTGTCTATCAGAATAGATCCATCACAACCCTGCAATGAGATCAATGCCAAACTTAAAACCATGCTTATAGTAACTTAGGGCTCGGTTTTGGATGGCGCTAATCTTGATTGGAAATGCGATTCTCATTCCTAAAACATTGGATTAATAACTTTGGATGTACAACTAATTGGTAATTGAAAGTGGGCATAGGACCCCTGGTCAGTGTTAGTAATCTTATAGCCAAATTGATTGGAAATTCTGAAAAAAGAATAAAAATCCGAATATCAAGCTTCCTTCCATCAAGCTACATCCTAAAAATCAAGTTCTCTTCGATTTTCAATATGCATATAAAAAACAACAACAATCAAAAAATTGATATTAATTCCTGCTCAAGATTCCCAACTTGTATTACTTCCATCCAATGGATCTAGGGTTACATTTAAAGTGTGATAGGAAGTAATGCCTAATAAGGATGACTTCAAGGTCCATTAGGGATTTACAGACTGAATGCTTATCAAGATACAAAATGAAAGCCTAATGCAAACTACTAATTAGACTAATAATTGATTGAACAACTACTGCAACATAATACAAATATATAGTAAATGAAAAGATTAATGTGCTCCATGAAGAAATGATGGATTCCAAAGCTTTAAAACAGTGTCAAAATAGATATTTAGGGACGAGAGAGAGAGGCTGAAAAATTTACTCTAATGAAGCAGTCATGGAAATGGAGTCGAAGAAGGCCAGCTGGTAGAGATGGGTCAGTGCTGAAATGTTGCTGCAGTATTCTCTTGACCAGCAGTTCAGCTTGTGGGCATGAATTTCTGTAGAAATGCAGCTCTAGAGATTGAGCTTTGTTTACCAGCAAAACCAATGCAAGTGTTAGAAAAGCTGGTAGCAAAACTGCCATGTGAGAAGTGTCTATCACCTCAAGCCTGATCAAGTCAGTGCATTTAAGGGTTTGCTAGCTACTAAATTGCTGTAATATGCAAATAACCATTAAACTTTTCAAATGTTTGATTTTTTATCTTCGAAAAACTATTGAATTTATCGAAATTTGCTTCTATGTTTCTCGAACGTTGGAGATTGGGAATCTAGTATTATTAAGCACATGGCTTTCTGGGATTTACAGTGAAATTTATGTTGATAGAGCTAAAGTTATGAAAATAGCATTGAGATCAATTAAGAAAGAGCACAAGTCAACCTAATAGAGCCCCTCGCCCAAACAAATAACTCACCAGTCACCAACTGGTGGTGGTTTTCATTGAACCATTCCATCAGATTGGTCAAAACCACTAGTAGTTACGCTCATTGGTGGTCGGTGGGAGGCTATCTCGATTTATGGCTTGGTCATTGGATCTTTTCACTTGTCCATCGGAATAAGAGTCTAGGTTAAGATTAGCAATGAGTTTTGTTGTATCGTATCTTAGTCGTGTCAAAATTTGTCTTATACCATACCTAACCCTTTTCTAATTATGTAAAGAAAGGTTTATGTCGTATTTAACGTCGTTCATATTTACCCATTATTTTGGTGGATGTAATGGGTCTACTCTTTTCGCACTCATACCCACTGAAGATTAAATTTAAACCACAAATTTTGTGTTTATTTTGTGTCAGGTTTGCGAGTTGTCACGTATAAAAAAAGGGGTAAAATTACTTTCCTCTTCGGTTTTTTTGAATGAAACCATCCTTTTTAGGAACACTACCTTATAGAAGAAGGGACATTAGACTGAATTTTGTATCAAATATGTTTGATTTTAACCCAGCAATTTTACTACAACGTTATACTTAATTATCCCAATAATGTTATGACTTCCGCTGCAACAGAACGAGGGTTAACACCAAGAAAACTATAGGAAAAATAAGATCACATGCATGATGGGATCATATTCTTTCCAAACTTTCTTTGTAGGCTACTTCTATACCTCTCGTATACAACTAAAAGGAGCATCGTATGCCTCTTTCATCACCATCTCTTATGCTTTTTCTTTCCTTTTCACATTTTCTTGTGGCACATTACTTATGATCAGATGCATCTCATCAGAGCCGTTGATCTTCACTTCATCTTGATTGTCGAGGCATCGTATGCATTGTGGGTAAAGACATCAAGATCATTCATACACATGCGATGTACAATATCAAGGGTCATTAGATGACCTCTTGACGAAACAATGAGCTAGCTTATTCTTTTCTTTCCCATGCAAAAGACTCAAAGTTCCTTTAACGTCCCTTTGTGCCACGGCCACCTTGTTTTTCTACATAGTATATAAACATATCCACCAACAATAGTATCTGTTCATCAATCTCCACCCTTAAAACTTCTCCGATTTCTCGCCGGAAAATGAATTCCAACCAAATACCGATTCACACCAACCCTGCAGGCCGCCCCATAAAGCGGCATCACACGGCCCGTTACTACGTCCACAGGGTCCATGAAAGTCTCTCCACTAGGCTCTCCAAGCTCGTGTGTTCAATATTTCTAACCCTTCTTTTAATTATGGGCATTATAACATTCATCTTATGGCTAAGTTTAAGGCCACACCGTCCCCGAATTCATCTCCGTGAATTTTCAATCCCAGCTTTGGCCCAACAAAACGGGTTTGAAAATGCCCAATTAATCTTTAATGTCACAGCCCGAAATGCAAACCAGAATATTGGTATTTATTATGATGCTATGCAGATAACTGTGTATTATGAGGATCGAAGTATTGGAAGTACCTCACTGTTACATCCATTTTTTCAAGAGCCAAAAAATACTACGGTGCTTTTTGGTACATTGAGTGGGGCAACATTGACGGTGACTAGCGAACGCTGGTCGGCATTGTTGGCAGATCGATCGAGGGGGACGGTGATTTTTCGCCTGGAAGTGACGGCATCCATCAGATTTAAGGTGTCAACATGGAGCAGTAAGCACCATAAGTTGCATGCTAAATGTCCGGTTGGTGTAGGCCCGGATGGCTTGATCTTGGCAAGTTATAAAGATAAGAGATGCCCAGTCTATTTCACCTGATGTGCATCCATCATAGGTGTTTTCAAGTGTCTAATATTTTCGTTATGTTTCATTTGCCTTTAATTTTAGGTTTTTTTTTTTCGGATTTGATTTGTATTTTGTATTCTTTGTTTCAACTCTTGTATAAGATTTAGAAATCATCATCCGATGCAGATTTCCAATTCTCTTGTCTTTTCATTTTGCATTTTATTTTCACTTGTAGAGCACGCAAAAATAGTCTCTCTACTTATAGGGTAAGGTTTGGTATATGTAACCCTTCTTAAATCCCGCAATAGTAAGAGTCTCGTACATTGAACACGTTCTTTATTTTCACTCTGTAAGGCAATTCATTGGGTGGCATCAACGAAGATACCAAGTTCTCTCCATTAAAATTTTGAACATATTGCCAACACAAAGAATTAAAGGAGATTTTGTGTAAATTTCTTTTGAAGTTCCTTATTTAGTGTTTTTACAGATTAAAAAAAGCTTTGCTCCATTTCTGGCTAACAAGAGGACCCCCATGGGTTCCATGATTTTTAGTACAAGGATGATGTTGATATATATATAGTAACATTTTGTTCTCCCATGATGCAGCCGCATTTAATCCAGTGATCATGTGGTTGTATGAAAGGACTGCCACCTCTTTAAATAATCTACTGGCTTAATTATGAAGGATAGTCTAGCCATCAATGTTGATCTTTTTTTTCTCAACTCACACACCACCACTCTTCCACGAAGCCTCGATTTAGAGATTTGGCAAAGTCGTGGAACCCATATTCTTGTCTAGCTTGGATTTTGGATTATTCCAGCATCATCTGCAACCATTGTTACGACATTACATTACACATTAGGCTGGCCCGCGAAATTTTTTTTCGAGCTAGACTTGGATAGTGTAGGCCCAATTCCGTACTCAGGCGAGTAGCGGGCCGGGCCGAGCCGGGCTTCGGGTAGGAGTAAACTATCCGCAGTCTAACCTGTCACCTATTGGGTGGGCTTTACAAGTGGGCTTTGCGGGCGGGCTTTTTGGGTAGGCTTTTGTTGGGCCTATTGGGCGGGTTTTGTTGGGCCCTATTAAAAAAATATACAACATTATTTAATTTTTTTGTAAATTATATTTTTGAATTAAAAGTATAGTCAAAATCAAAATGGACAAAAAATAAATAGTGAATAATTTTAACAAATGAATAAAAGAGAAATTGCATCACTATAGAATGAGTACATCTCAACTAGGTTGACACCTACCCACCTATCTATCGTTTGCACAATTCTATCCATTAAAGGCTTTTGTACATGAAAAGGTAGAATATTTAATACATGAAAAAAAATACATCAATCTTAATATCTAAAGTCTCCACCTCTTAATATAAACATATATGTTTGATAAAAAAAAAAAACATATATGGGCGGGTATAGGCTTTGGGCGGGCTTCGGATATGTGAGCGGGTTATTGGGTTGAGTATTTGGACGGGTTATTGGGCCGGGTAATGGGTTTATGAGTAAACTCAAGTCCTTTCTTAAAATGTATTGGACTCGGGTTTGGGCGGCCTAACTATCGGATCTATCGGGCTTTGAGCCTATTTTTTTCGGGCCGGGTAACAAGACCCGTGGATAACCTGACCCATGGACACCCCTATTACACATACATTTGATTATGGTTATTAGTTTTAAGTCGTGGAACCCATAATTTGATTTCTTGTTTTATTTTACTCAACGCCAACATAGTTTTTTTTCCAAAACGGCAACGATTGTTTGCGTAAAACCAATTCATATAAAGCAACGTTATTGGGACTTAATTAACTATAATTTTTGAATTGATTGTGAACTCTATTAAATCTTTGAACTAGATATTAATTCAACAACTTTAATAAAATTATATTATTAAATCAGTAAATTAGATCAAAATTTTAGTTTCCAAGAATATTACTCATTCGTATAGGGTGTTGTGTCTTAACCAAGAAACAACTAGCATTAGGGCTGTGCAAAATACCTGATAACCTGACAAACCGATCCGAAACCAACCCTTTCGAACAAAAAATGGGTGGGTAATATTTATTACGGGTCGGTTTCGGAAGAAAATACAAATTAATCGATAAAATCGATTCGGCTTCGGATACCTTCAAGTCTAATATATATATATACTCTGGGTTGGATTTGTCCTTTAAAAAAAATAAAAAGACAAAAATATAAAAGCAAACTAACTCCACTTCCACTATCTTAGTCTCTCTTCTCTTCGGCCTCTTCTCTCCCTCACAAACGAAAAAATCCCTATTTTTCTTATACTATTCTTCATCTATGGATCCACCATCGACCATAGAATGACATCAATGATCGAGTAGAAATATATTTCAACCCTATCAAGCAGATTTGAAGACTCAAGGGTGAATGGTGCCATCAACTATTGAGTAGCAGTAGATCTTAACCCTCTCGAGCAGATCTCAACCCTTTTTTTTGTTGACTAGTAAATTTCTTTTTCATTATCTCTGATTATCCATCTCTCTGAATACATTTTTTTTTGGGTCTTGAAACTCATTGCTCGAAAGCAGTGAGTTTTTCATTTTCTGCTTGAAACTCATTGCTTGGTCTTAAATTCACTGCCATCAATTTCTTTTTTCTTTTTCCTTGCTCTCTAATTTCTTTCACACATTTTCTGAATACATTTTTTTTGGTCTTGAAACTCACTGCTTGAAAGCAATGAGTTTTTCCTTTTCTACTTAAAACTCACTATTTAGTCTTGAAACTCAGTCACTACCATCATTTTTTTTTCATTTTTTTCCTTGTTCTCTAATTTCTTATACACATTTTTTGAATACATTTTTTTTTTCTTGAAACTCACTATAGAATTAAAGTCTGGGCTTGAAAATGTTGTTTTGGATTCAATTTAAGTTTATACACCTGCTAGACAAATAAATTGGGCTTGGGCTAAAGAAATTTTAGGTCTACAATAGAATTTAAGCCCACCTGTTAGCCGACCCATAAACTGATCGACACTCAAGGTCGATTTTCGGTTCGGTTGATCTTGTAATTCGGTTCAGCTCGATTTATGTTTTCTATTTTCGACTATAATTGGGTCGACTGGCGGAAGTAGCCACTTCCGACCCTAACAGTCGAGTGAACAACCCTACCTAGCATCAAGTGATGTCTTTGGGGAGGTCCAGCATTGCTCCATTTATCTAGGTGCAAAACAGTCAATTTACTCCTCTGTGCCAGGTTTCACGATTTGACAATACGCGGGAAAAAGGTTAATCTATCACCCCAGACCCAAAAAAACAGGGAAATGGGGGTGGGGTTGCTGGTTTAATCTTTGGTTTTTGTCTCAAGAGTTGTTTTTTCATTTGTGGCCCTTGTCTATAGAAGTACAATGACAAAAATGTCTTTTAATATTCTCAAGTGTCAAGCATATGATATTTTTCGTCTATTATTTGGATGACAGTTAGAGGTAAAGACCAAAGTAAGTTATTGTGTTAATATAATGGATGAAATAGACGAAATTAGAACTTTAGGGATGAAAATGCAACAAGTGATAATTCTTAAGGACTATTGGTACAATTTGCCCAAAAAAAAGAAAGAGTCAATTTTGAATACCCGAATAGAGTTTATGGTATCTTCTATTGGTCACCCAGGGCCGAAAATACACCACAAACAAGATATAAACATAAGAGAACTCTTTATTTTTCTCTAGAAATAAAATACAAGAATTTTTAAAAAAAAATTCTCACAAATGAGAACTCTCCTGAATCTCTCTCTCTCTCTCTTTGTTTCTTCCTCATTGATTCTTCAGCATTCTTCTAGCCTTCACTAAGCTTCTTATTTACAAGGAGTTTTCTAGCCAAAAATTCAAGAAAAAAAGGGAACACATTTAAAGCTCCGACAAAATTTTGTCAAAGCTTCAGTCGTCCAACCACCTAGCCATCAGTAAGGTGGCCACTAGGGTGGGCTACAGAGCTGATGGAGCTAGAACCTTCAAATCTCCTCCTCTAGAACCATCAGAAGAGCATAGAATCAGACATTCATTCTGGCTATGTCTTTGTATAGCTTAAGCTTCTCTCGAGTAACGACATCTGTCAACATGTTTGCTAGATTCTCCTTTGTGTGGATCTTCACTTGTTTCAGTAACTATTGCTCCATCACTTTGTGTATCCATTGATAGCTAATATCAATATGTTTCGTCCGGGAATGGTACATTGAGTTCTTGCTCAAGTCTAGAGCATTTTGACTATCACAATGCACCTTGCACTTTGGCTATCAATTTTTTTTTTTTGGGGGAGGGGGAGAGGGTTGGGGCTTTGAACTCTTGACTTCAAGAAGACAAAGCTTTCATAAGACAAGGACTATCATTGGACCAAAAGCCCATTGATACTTAGTTCTTTGAAAAACTACTTTAACCACTACATTTTCTTACCAGCTTTTGCTGCAACATTATATTCTGCTTCTATCATGGATAAAGTTATGCACTTCTGCAACCTTGACTACCATGACACAACCCCCCC